CACAGCTGAGCATCCCCTGTGCTTCTCAGGCAGAACATCTCCTGCTGGATGTCCTGTTGGCACATCACATCAGTGTGGGTCGTCTGCCTAATGCCACAGCATCAGTGCTGGTGGCTCATGCTGTCTCATGTGACCATACCTACAACTTGCACCTCTTATCTGGTGATGCGTTCCTGTCCTGTGCTTTCTGTCCCTGCTGACAGCACCAATTCTTGCTTCCTCTCCCAGGCTTGCAACTTCTGGTTTGGTCTTTTTGCCCTTCACACAAAACAAACAGGCTCAGCTTTTTCTCCCCAAGGACTTGCTTGGTGTCTTTCTCAGAGTCTTCCTTGGGAACTCTGGCTGGGACCCAAACAGAGCTGCCTCTCCCTCCTGAGTTTTCTCTTCTTTCTCTCACATTTGTTTTTCCACTGTTGATGTTATACCTCCAGCTCACAGTTTGTTAAATCTCCCAAACTTAAGCATGCTCATATCTGCACCTACTTTCTATCTCACTGTTCCAACACAAATTTAGCAGTGCAGATATTTGGTTTCACTTTTTTTTTCCACAGTTCTATGTTTAAATCACATCTAAGCTATTCATCTTAAAAGCTCTACGCAATCTTAAATTGTGTTTTAGCACCTCTCTGCCCCACTATCATTCTTACTGTAAACTCAGAAAAACTACTTTAAAACATCAAATGTCTTTTTCCTTTTTATTTTTATTTTTTCTAATTCCACTGAATTCTTGGAGAATATACTCTCATCTGAGTCACATGCTCCTGTAGTTGTGCCATCAACTGCAAGCAAGCAAGCCTGTTATTTCTGTGCTTCCTATCAACCCCTCCTTCTTTGCTCTGGAGTCAGAGCCTTAAGGAATCTGCTCCTTGGAACATGGTCCTACTTCTTTGCCAAATGTCTTCCCTGCAGTCCTTTAGAGAAGGATTCATGATGCATTTTTGGACTCCAAGCAACCTTGTGCCTGGCTTCACTAGAGTAGGTGCACTGCCCAATCTGCCACCCCTCTGCTTCCTTTATGTGTTATATCACTCAATGCCCAATATAGCTGTCAAGAGAGGTGCGAACAACGTATGGCTACAGAGAATTCAGGAAAAGAAATGGATAGGCAGAAATCCAGCAACATATTTATATTTATATTTATATTTATATTATTTATATTTATATTTATATCCAGCAATATATTAACTGTGTACACTTTGTAAAATGGGACTAACAGTAATAAAGCTGCCACTTGCTTTGGCAAACTTGCTGCCACAGCTCTTGGCAGGAATATTTCATGAGTAGCCACCATATTATTCTGAGACCTTCCTCTACTCTCTTCTTTGTCACACATTTGACACTGACAGCACATGGAAGGTGGTGGGAGCCCTTCAACCAGCTCCAGAGAGTTTTCAGTCTTTATTTTTGCTCTGTTATTACCACCTGCTCCTAATTCTTGGAGATCCGTACCCACCAAAGTCACAGGGGAGCACTAGAGATGGATCACTGGTTGGGGTGGGAATCATAGAATCATAAGGTTGGAAAGGACCTACAAGATCATTTAGTACAACTGTCCTCCCATTACCATTGCTACCACAAGCACTAAACCATGTCTCGTAGCTCCTCATCCAGATGCCTCTTGTACACTGCCAGGGATGGCTACTCCACCACCTCCCTGAGCAGCCATTCCAGTGCCTGACCATTAAATCACTGTACTTAAAAGACATGGGTATACATGAAATACGGAATCGCAGAATAATAGAATCATTAAGGTTGGAGAAGATCTTTAAGATCACCGAGTCGAACCATCAGTCCATCACCACCATGCCCAGTAACGACAAGCCCCATTGCCTTGAACCATCAAGAGAACACGTTCATCGCAGAATGAACATGATATTGGTCAGTACAACAGGGGGGTATGAGTAAGGTTGAGAAGAGCTGGTTCTGCTGTACCATAACACTGGCTGCCAAACAAATGGGTGTATACGGACTCTGAATACATTTGGGATGTAAATTTGGTGGTTTCCAACCTTCAGAGAAGTTCCAAGATAACACTCTAAAGGTGAGATGAGGACAAGACACTGATGCTCACCTTGATGACAATAGACAGGCTGGTGTAAAATGATGGCTTTAGGAGGAGGGGAGCAGATGCAGTGACCCAACCCTTTCTTCTGAACATTGGAGACCACTTGCATTTTTGGTTGGCTGTGGAATTAACCTTAAATACAACTTACTCCTGGACAAGGGGAAACATAAAATATTGCTGTGGTTATGATGCATCCCAGCTGTTTTCTCTGTGTCTCTCCACAACCCACTTCTGAGGTTGGGGCTGAGGTGTTCACTGCAGCCCCATTGCCTTTACCTCCCTGTACTCAGGCCACCACAGGCAGCGTCCCTTGCTGGCACCCCTTCTCACTTGGCCAGCTCTGCCTGATACGGATTAAGGAGCTCTCATGTGATCCCCGCAGCCGGTAGAGCTGGTATGGCTGCAGAGAGAGGCAGTAAGAAGCTGCTGGAGGGCAGGAGCCTGCAGCTGGCACAGCCTCTTTGCAAGTGACCCCTGATCTTTGCTTCTGATCTTCCTTTGGCCTTGCGGGAGCGTGCTGCGTCATTTGGCCTTGGCCGTGCTGCACTTCTCTCACAGGAGTGAACTCCAAGCAGAGCAATCACCCTGCGTGGGTGTGCGAGGCTGCTGTAAAGGCGATTACAGCCAAGCACTTTATTGGCATGCCCTGAGCTTATCAAGGCTGTAACATTAGGTAGTTTTCAGAGGACAGCTACTACTTCGATGCTACGCTGAGAAGCTGAATGATCTGGACACAAAGCAGGTCACTCATGTCACAGCTTGTTTGTGTGCTGCCAACAAGCACCTTCCCCAGGAAGGGCTGTGGCCCTAAGGGTAGTCTGTGCACTTTTACGGAACCTGGAGGCTCCCATGCCCCAAGGCTGCCTTGCTGGAGTGGCAGCAGCTTGTCCTTCTGCCCTGGGTTGCAGCTCCGGCGGCAAATGTGCACATGACTATGGGTAACCAGGCACAGAACTGCTTCCAGTCTCCTCTTAATGGTATTTTCCTGGACACAAATAGCAAGTGGAGATGCCTATCTCTCATCTGTGTTCCCAACCGTGCTGCTGGTGCACACAAGCAAGGATGTGGCACTGGGAAGTACTGTTTTAATGCAAGCTGATGTTTAACAGCACACTGTGTGTGTGTTACCTCAGCTCTGCTGAGGGAAAAAAGAATTAAATCTCACTTTTCAGAGCTGTTAGCTATTTCTGTGGCTGTGAGGTGGCCACCAGAGCCCCACTATGGGTGGCATGCACAGAGTGGCATGGTGACAGCTCCGTGCTACCAATCCTGCCAGCCCCCACATCTGGAACACTCAGAACACATGCATGAGGCTCCTGTAGCTGGCTTTGTAGCCCTTTGATCACAGCACTGATTTGGTGCTCTTTCCCACGTTCACTGATCTCCAAAGTCATTTATTTCAAACTTGGGCTCTGGCCAGCTGTGGGAGCACAGCCCAAAGCTGCCCAATTGCCACCTCTGCCAGCCTGCTTGTGCACAGTGAGACACTGAATCACAGAATCATACAGAAAGGCTTGGGTTGGAAGGGACCTCTAAATACATCCATTTCTAACCCCCTACTGTGTGCTGGTTGTCACTCATCAGATCAGCCTGCCCAGGGCTCATCCAACCTGGCCTTGAGCACCTCCAGGGCTAGGGCACCCACAGCTACTCTGGGCAGCCTCTGCTGATGCCTCACTGCCCTCTGAGTAAGTAATTTTTTCTAGCCTACATCTCCCTCTTTTAGTTTAAAACAGTTAAACCATGTTGCTGAAGGCAAGTCTGACCCACCTGGCTCTCCTGGCTCACACCATGGGCATGCAAGGCCTCTTTTTCCCATCCAGCACTCTGTGCCTGGCTTAAACTGCAAGCCCACAGGGGCTTACAATTTGGATGAAGCCCCATTTATACCATCAGTTTGTGTCTTTTCACAACCATTTTTGGAGCTGGGATCGTTTTTACCAGCCGCACATACTGACACATTTTAGAGATTACTTTGAAAGATTTAGACTGGATATAAGGAAAAAGTAATTTTTCCTCATAAAAAAAGTAATAAGGATGAGGCACTGGAACAGGTTGCCCAGAGAGGTAGTGGATGCTCTGCTATGGAGACATCAAAGGTCAGGCTGGACAGGACTCTGTGCACCTGCTCTAGCTGTAAGTGTCTCTGTTCAGTGCAGGGGAGTTGGACAAGATGGCCTTTAACGGTCCCTTCCAACTGAAAGATTCTATGGTTCTGCAATTCTCTGCAACCTCGCAGAGGTGGGTGTGTGGCACGTGTGGCTGGGCAGGGGTCATCGGGCAACTCAGGCTGTGCTTGCAGCTGGGATGCATGGGAAGATGTCACGGCCTTTTGCTGGCGAGAGCAAAAATAGTGCAAAAAATAAAAATAAAAATCATAGAACACTGAAGCTTTCAGTTCCAGCCTGGAATTGAGGATACCTTTTATTTTTACATAGTTGTTAAATAAATGGAAAGGGAAAATCATGCTTATTTTGTCCTTATTTCTTCGTGATTTTTTTTTCTCTTTGTACGTACGATTTTCTTTTCGCATTTTTCTCCTTTCCTGCCCCCGCCCCCTCCCAGCCCTCACAGGACCGCTAAGCCACCTCCCTCTCTTCGCTGCGGGCTACTCTTCCCGGGGTACCCATGCCATCCAACCTTTGACCACCGGCCGAACGGGGCACTGCCGGAATACCCCATTTCCACGCCGTCCAACGCTATTTGCTCCCAGTCCCCGCTGTCCCCGCTCCCCGTCCCACTGCGCTCAGACCGGGCTCCGCGCTCTGCCCCGGGCTGCGGCCGGCGGCGGCGGCGGCGGCGGCGACGGCGGCGGCGGCGGCGGGGGGCGGTGACGTCACAGAGCCGCTCGCCAGCACAACGTTCCATTGAGGCGAGCGCGTGCTCCGGCGAGCACATGGGCAGAGCGGCCCGCACCGCACCGCTCCGCGCCGCTCCGCTCCGCTCGGCCCCGCCGCCGCCGGACCCCAGCCCGGAGAATGGGGGGGGACGCGGTGAGTAGCGGGGCTGCAGGAGAGCGGGGGGGGGGGGGGGGGGCGGCTTTTGGTCTGATTTTATTTTTTAATAATGATCTGCATTGTTATTATCGCTTTAATTTTTTTATTACTTCTTATAATTTTTATTCTTACTGCTTATCTGTTTTCTTTTTTGCTATTTTTTTTGATTTTTTTTTTTTTTTCCTTGCAACCTATTCCCCCCCCCCCAACCCCCCAACCCTCCCCTTTTTGCTGTACGTTTCCCTTCGCTAGGCCTTGCAGGAGTTTGCAGCTTGGCTGCGGCGCTCGTGCAGATGGAGGGGGGCGGGAGGGAGGTGTTGCATTTTATATATTTTTGATATTAATTCTTTTTAAAGCGCTGCGGCTAAAAATAGCCGTTGCCAAAGCTGAATCCGGGCGGATGGGGAGGAAAAGGGCTCGGAGTGCCCCCCCCGGCGATGCATCGCCTCGATAAGGCCGAGGGGTGCGGAGACAGCCCTAGAGGGGAGGCGAGGAGGGAAGGGATGCCCCGAGCATAGCCGTAGTGGGGCAGGGGGGTGATGGGAGCCTGGCCCTTACTGCTCCGGGGCACAGCGTGTACCTTGGGAGTCAGCTGGGACACTGGGAGGAAAATGCGAGGGTTCCAAGGCTGTCTTTTCCTTAAAAATCCACCTTTTGGTTTTATTTCTCATTTATCTGTCTGTTTATTTTTGTACTTTAAAATGCAACTTAATTTCCAGAGGCCACCTTTGGTGTTTGCCTATCAAGAGTATTACAGTGTTTCCACGCTTTAGGACTTGAGTCCTAAACTGAGAAGCCCTCTGGCAGTCGCATCTCAGGGCACACGGAGGGGCGATGCCCGTAGCGATGCCCGCGGCCCCGCCTGAGGGATGCTGGAAGCCCATTGCCCATCGCACTGACAAGTTGAGGCTTGTTTTGCTTGTCCAAGGCTGTGGGCAGGCGGAGGGAGTCGAATACCCCAAGCCACTTCCTTCTTCTTAATACGTGTCTGCAAAGACAACCAGACACTTTTTGGAGAGCATTGTTTGGGTGATGCGCTTTCTGGGGGGGCATAGTGACACACAGCATGGGTCAGGGCAGAGAGCACTACTGTGCACATGCCATGGCTGTGCAAAATGAGAATATTTCTTTGTCGAGCAGGAATACAGTCTCTACTGCCAGCTTGTGCCAACTGATTTGGATTAGTGTAGAAGCATGCCTATCTGTTGCTGTAAAATATATTTAAAAAAAACCTCACTCTGAAGTGGTGACATCACCGTAAGAAGTAATGCTACAATGCAATATTTGATTACGTCTCAGAGACACCATTTTTCTTTTCTCTGTGATTTTTAATAATTGTGTAGTAGGGATGTGTGCTTTCTGAGCACGTGGAGCAGCCAGGTGCTGTGCTGGGTGCCATGTGTGATGGATGGCTCACATCCATGGAGCTTAGTGTGTGCTACATACATTGTTTAGCTTAGTGTTAGAAAAACTCTAACTTTTGCTTTTTCCTCTTTTCTCGCAGTGAGCGTGGCTTCTCCTGGGTTAGGATGCCATAATTCAGGTAGATGTGGCTGTGCCTTTGTGTGCAGGCAGTGAGGTGTGCAGGTGCAGCGCTTTAGCCTTTGGGAGTGTCTCTGTACCTGTTCAGTGTGAGACACACTGTGCACATCCAGCATCCCTGCACAGTGTGAGCACTGCAGGCCGAGGTGCTGCATCCCCTGCTTGGGCTGCGTGTTGATGTCCTCGTGCTGTCAGAGCAGCTTGGCAAGAGTGAAAATAAGGAAGGGCTGATGGCTGCTTCTGCTGAAAGCTCTGCATGTTGCAAAAATGAATTATGTATAGGAATTAGTTCTTAAAATGGAAGATGGGCTCCCTGTGTGAAGTTCCGTGCACGGAATACAACTTCCGCAGGAGCTGGCTGCTCTCTGAGGCTGGGAGCTGTGTGCCGATGGCAAAGCTCGTGCCGCAGCTCTGCAGCTGTGCTGTTCTCTCTGCCGAACTGAAGCCTAGGTTTCTGCTCCATCATGGGCTGTATCTGCTCAACTTTGAACTTATGCCTATTTCTCTGAAGGATCTGAGCCATGTCTTCCTGTTTTTAATCAGAATGCTGTGCAAAGAGGGCTTTCAGTTGGTGGCTGTCTGTATCTCACTAACTTTTATAAAGGAATTACTGCAGTGCTGAGGGTGTGGAGGAAGACCAGAGGAAAAATCTATCTACCATCTCTGAATGTATCAAAATATCGTTGTGTTCTTCTGTCACCTTTCTGATGAGAATGTTCAGTGGGTTACTACAATGTCACTGCTTTTCTGTAATCATGCTGGAGCAGCCCTAGTAGGAATTGCAAGGTAGGGCTTACGCATGTGACATCTTCATAAAAAAACACATCTGTACACACGCATTTTTTTTTCACCCATTGGTCTGTGCAAACAATAGCACTAATGCCGTGTCAAGGGCAGGACGCTGACTTTTGTGGTCTGGGAAGTGTTTCCACGGCTTGTAGGAACCCTGAGGCTCATCTTTTGTTCCCTGTCTGTGAGTATAGTGGCAACTCTCTGGGTACTGGTAGGGCATTGGGTGCTTCAAGCATTGCAGCATGGAGCAGTGCTGGAGGCTGTCCACAAAGACTGCTGTCACTGGTGTGAGCAGTGTGGTTGTCATGTCTGGTGTTGGTTGCACTGAGCAATGGAGGAGGAGGAGTGAGATGGTGTCAGCCACGCTCGGGCATTGCAGAGGGCTCTGCCCAAGCCTTGGTAGATGTTCTGCCCTAATCCTTTGCTGCTGGCCCAGGAACAGCATCAGTGCAGGGTCCTGCTGTGTGAGCTGAGAAAGGTGCAGAGCTGCAAAGCGAAATAGCAGAGAGGAAGATGTGTACCTGATCAGGAAGCTTCTGGCTCTTTTTGCAAGGTGATACAGATCTTACTTTGAAGCACGGGATGTGTTGTTTTCTGCCTCTTTGCTGGCTCATTGCTTTAATACCAAACACCTGCTTAGTTCCTGGCTAGATTTATGCAGAGCTTGTTGTGGGGAGTAAAGAAATTATCCATCTCTTTGGCCCTATGTGGGCCACGTTTTCCTTTGTCACAGCTGCATCTCTTCCTAGTCAGTGTATGTTAATGCAGCATGGCATCCTGACAAGACAGGCTGTGCAACCCAACATGGTTCATCGATACCTGCAGATGCAGTGCCTGCCCTGTGCTTGCCATGCTTCTGAGGATCAGGGCAGAACAGCATTTATCAGAGTTATCAGTGTTGTGGTAAAGCAGCGTTGCTGAGTGTTTCCAGGTGTGGAGAGCCAACTGAGCTGTTTGCATTCCAGGTCTGTATGATTTAAATGCCTTTTATTGCATCGTGAGGTGGTGTCAAATTCTTTATGTGACCTCCAGGTACAGGTGTGAGTATCAGTGTGGAGCTGTATCTTGCAGCTGGGGCTGGCTGAATATCTCAGGTTTATCCTGCCTGTGCTGCAGCCCTTGCAGTCACATCCTCGCTGCTGTTGATACCTTAGGTTTCTTGGTGGTTGCACCTGCCATATCCCTCGATAGAAAAATGATTCGTATGTGAGTTGCTGCCTACGGTAATACATCAGGCTATAAAAAGTTCTGTCGTGCAGCAGTGAGAGTCGTCACTAGGTCCTGTGCTGGGAAGCCAGGCAGGTCAGGAGGCAGCCCAAATTAGAAATTATGGCACTTTGACTTTTATGGCACAAAGACTTTGGTAAGGGTGATTAGCCACTGCAACAAATTACCAAGAGGAGGGATGGATTCTCTCTTTTAGTCATTTCCGCCTTCAAAACCTGGAAAAAGCAGCAGAAGATTTTTTGCATGGAAACTATTGATGGGTCCCTGCAAATCAGTTCCTTTGACAAGAGAAGGGAGATTTGGCCATGCCCTCTCCCAGTTTGGTTGTGCAGGCAGTAGGAGCTGCTAGGTTCTGCAGAGCATGGGCTGAGCTGAGATGGGGGCAGCCTGGTGAGGAAATGCTTCTGGCACTTTGGGCTGCTGTGTGCATTTACACGAGAACAGTGGTGTTGCTACGAGATGTTTTGGAAGGCAACATTTTCTATGAGAGTCACTTCTTCAGTGCCTTCATTGAGAATACAAGGTTGAGATGCTCTTCTGTTTAAAACCTTTTATTGTATTACTGGTCAGAGCCAACTGATGGCTTTTCCAGGTGCTGGTCCCACCCCTTGGGAAGTAATGAGAGAGGTCCTATAGGAAGCTCCCACAGGCTCTCCTCTGTTCTGGTGGCAAAGATCTCTGGCTCAGAAGCAGTGCCCAGAGCTGTAGGCTCCTTCCTTAAGGGGTGGTGAATAGCAGAGGTGGGTGGGATATGCAAGGCCGCATCCTAGCACATAGAGCAGCTTTTGGAGGTCTTCATCATGATCTGAATGTTTCTGGGAGCCCCGAGACTGTGAAGCAGTCCACTGCAGGGCCTGTGACCATCTCTTTTTGACAACAGGAGCTGAGCAGAAACCATGCAAAAATGAAGTGCATTGCGTTGCCTTGTGTGGCTCCTTGCCCAGGCAAGGGGTGAGCCCTGCACAACTGGAAAGGGCTTGCCGGCTGTGCAAGGAGCGAGTGGTGCAAGAAACTGGAGCCTTGCTGCTGCTTGTGTGCTGCTGACGTAAATGCAGTAACGTAAAGGTGGTGTTGTGTGCTGGTTAACCCGGGGAAAGCAGCAGCTGTGGGCTGTGCTTATCCTGTGTCGTTGCACATGGGATGTGGAGCAATGGCCAAAGCACAAACTGCCCTCAAACCCTTTGTGTTTTGCCTTCTCCAAATGGAAAAATTTCTAGCACGAGTCTCTTTTTGTTGATGTTGAAGTTCATTATTCAGTATTAATATAGCCCTGCTGTAGCTGACTGTAGACGTGGCACCCCAAACCCTTTGTTTCAGTTGATGTTGCCAGTAGTTAGTCACACCTATCAATACAACGATCTACAGCTTGGCACACTGAATAAAACACTACTGTGCCTCTGTTTGGAAATATTTAGTAATACTTCCGGCTTCATTTA